ATTTTGGGAGGCCCCACGTGGACGCGCGTCACCATGCGAGGATCCAGTTTAGAGCAGAGCGAGTCCTTGTGAAGTGGACATCAGCACAGGCTGAGCTAAGTGAGGGCTCCTGTGACCCCGGCCCTGGTTTCAATCCCACGTGAAACCGCTGATGGTGCCAGCATCCAGTCAGCTCAGTGACTAAAGTGCAACTGAGTACACAAATCCCCAAACCCTGTGTAGAGCTACACTTTGCAAACTGTGTTTATTGTCTCTTTGACTACATTGGTTGCTTTTCTAGCGCCTGTATTTAATTATTTTGAAATAAGAAATGCCATTTGGTGGTAGTGACCTAGTTTATACTTAAAGTTCTACAGGAACCCAGATCGAGATGGAATTAGGCCATGAATGTGTGGATAGCAGTTGCTTTTAAGGATCTCTTGCCTTTTTTTTCAGAAGGGTGAAAAGATGTCAGATCAAAAAACAAGCCCCCCCAAATTCACAAAGAAAGCAAATGGCAAATAGAAAGTGTCTTTTTGGGCCTGAATACCCTGCTCAATGAGAGAATAAAGATTTCAGCTTTGTGGATGTATTTCGGAGAAAAATGCCAAACTCCTAGAATGTGGAAGGGACTGCTCAACTATAGAAAGGCTTTGGCCTTGTCTTCGAGACTTGCATCGAATTTAAAAATATATACACATTTTGTTCTGAAGGCTCACCCTTCTGCCCCACCTGAAATGTGTCAATTTGGATAAATCCATTCTGTTTCCCACATAGAGGTACTGGTAAATGAAGATCTGTTGTTCTGTCCTGTGTAGCATAGTTACAAGCACTTTTTGTTTTATTTTGTTTACATGGCTTCTTGATATGTTTTCCTGGTTTGGCACAATATTAACTGGAAACAACTTTTTTAACCTAGATTTGTCAGACCTGAGGTTGGTATTTCTTCACAAACACTGATGGCTTTTTCTTTTCTTAAAATAATAGAAGTTAAACAAAATGAAAGAAGGAATTATGTAAAGAGAGGAGTGTGTTTTGTTTGGCCTCACTGAGTCCGCTCGGCACCTCTGGCACAGATTCCACACTGCAGCTCTGCCGCAGCTGCGGGAGCTCGAAGTTCTCAGCGTAAGTTGTGCATTTGCGTCACTGTCCATTTGCGAGTTGTCGGCCAGAGCTGCACTGGACAGCCGGAGTGAGTTTTCCTAGTGAAACTCAGCAGCAGGACGTCAGTGTTCAGGATACACTTTGCAGTGGTATTTAGGAAAGGATTTCTTTTTTCAGATAATTGCTTTCGTGTCATCTACATTCACGGTGTCATCTGTATGAACAGTGACTACATGTTAGTTTCATAACTAATTGCAGGTTATTTGAAAATTGTGACATCGAAGTGACCCAAATTAAAACAAAAGGCACCAGGTCCTCCTTGCACCAGTTATCCCTTCCTGTGGGAAAGTGACCCACTTTCCTGACACATTTGATATGCCTGGCATAGGTAAAGACCACAGCCTAGAATCACACAATGATTTTTCCATTCTTTCTTGCTCTTTTTGGGGTAGAACATATTTTTCACATCCCAGCAGTAACCTCAGTTATCACTTCGACATAGGTGAAGCAAAGCACTAAGGAAACCTGTCCAAGGTCACCCAGTGGCCCAAGGTCACCCCATGGCCCAGAGCAGAGCCAAAAACGTGCCCAACAGCTATTTCCTGGAGCTGGTTCCTACGCGTGCCCTGACTCTGGCATCAGTGGAGGTCTTATCCAGGACCTTTTCCAAACAGTTTTGGACTTCAGAAGCTGTTTGTATAAACAGTACATGCATCCCATAGAGACAGTGGGTCCCAGCAGCCGTCTCAGTGCCGAAGCAGAGGTGGCGGGTGTGGCTGCTGTCTTCCACCAGCTCCGGGAAGAGTGTAACAGAAAGGAAAAGGTGGCAGCAGAAAGCAGAATGGAAGAAAAAGATAAGGAAAGAAGAGGGGGAAGGAGGTGTTGCATCCCGGGCTTTGGAGTTAGAAAGCTGGATTCAAATCTGAACTCTGTGAGTTTCCAACCATCTTTCCCTTAAACTGGGAACTCTTACCACGCGTGTTAGCGGTGATGACCACCAGCTGTCCTCACTTGTCCCATGGTGCTGCCAGCTCCTAGCGCTAATGTTAGAGACCGTGCTGCTTCTGCAGGGGGAGGGTTGGGCTCGGCTGTGTTGTGATGAGGAATCTACACAGAGCTTCAGCTAGAAGATTATACTTGGTCACATGAAGAAGTTCAGAGATGGGGGTCTGGGCTAGCCTGGGGTGCACTGAGTGGGAAGAACTTCTGGCTCCCTCCAACTGCTGCTCTAGGCTACCCCCATGATTGCAGGGAGGCTGCTGGAGCTCCAGCTACCACACCCTTGTTTCCGGGAGTAGGATGGACGAGGGACAGAAGGAAAGCGCCATGTGCTCTTTGCAAGGAGTCTTTATAGAAATGCCATTTAAAACATCTGCTTGTTCAGAATTCCGCGTTTTGTTTGAGGCCTTTCTGTGGATGATAGCAAGAAACATTGTGATCCTCAGGGAAATGTCTTAGAAATGAAAATTCATAATAATAGTGGTAACTCATATGTGAGGTACCACGGGCACTGTGCTTCCAGTTTTATAGGAACTATTTCACTTAGTACAGACGTGATTATTCCTGTTTAACAAAAGAGAAACTGGGGCTTAAAAACGTAAGTAGTTTGCCCAGGGTTATTTCACTACCAAATAGCAGAGCTAAAGCTCACAACTCGGCTTTTCTTGGTGGCTTACTTATATCTACTGTGGCATTTTTAAAACCTTGTCTTCTTTTTTACTGTGATCTTTTCTTCCTGCCTCCCCCACCCTCTGTCTATCACACACACCCCTTATCTGATTTTTTTCCAAACCTTGACTGCTTTATGCTTGTGTAAAAGAAGGCGCCTTTTACCGTTTCGTGAATCGATGGTGAGTTGTTCCCCTGTATTGGTCCGGAAGCTGTTCGTGGGAGGTTTGAGCAGTTTGCCCCCTTGTTGCCAAGCACTGCTTTTGCAGGTACTGCCCTGAAAGCTATTGGGGTTCACACAGTGGTAAGAAAGGTCCCTTCCCCAAAGAGTCATGCCGCAGTTCTTCAGAGAGAGGATTTCAGGCATGCATGTTAGCGTCCCACAAGGCTGTGACACTGCATGTGAATCCCAGGTGACCTAGATACAGACACCCATTCAGTCCTTATAATTACAGACGTGTCATTGTCCCTCTGCCACCCCTCCCTGTAAAACATTCCTAAGAAATTACACAGAGTAAATCAGCCGTGTATTTCAGTGCTCTTTGTGTTTTCACCTTAAATAACACGGTTTATGTCGTGTCTGTAGTCAAAAGCTTGTTAATGTTAGTTTACGTAAAGAAGATCATTAATTATGATGCCTCTTATGTAAAAGTAGGTGTTAACCAGGTCTGTTTGTACAAATAACTCCTATTTTACGATATTTTGTGTAGTGTCAGAAAGAAAGATCAAGGGTATTAGAAGCCAGAATCAAGGCTGGGCGAACTTTGTGGGTAAGGCCTGTTTGTATCTGGTCGTCACGGTGCACATGTTACAAGACTTGAGCAAAACAGCATTTCACCTGATAGGTTAGAGAGGGGAGACCCTCACCCAGGATATGAAGATGACAAAATTTCCAGGTATTAAGAGAAGGGATTGCAAAAACTCACCGTGATCATTTTTCCTTTGCTTGGTTTTTCAGCGAGTTGAGCTTTATATCATTTCTTCATAAATTTCTTTATAAAGGACACCTTTTTTGTCTCACAGCTACCTACAAATTATTTTGCTCCATTTCCTGGTTATGTGCATGTAGAAATGTTTTGTTCGCAGCGGGAAGGTGATTTCTTCCTGTCGGTGTGGATACATACTCTGTCTCTGTATTCATTCTTGACACTTCAGGTCCTCACCTGTTTGAGAGTCGGTTCTTTTCTGTTCTCAGGAACTTGTCCTGCGTCACGTGCCCAGACACTTACAGCACCGGGCCTCCCTTTCATCTTTATTTGTATTTCTTTTAATTCTTTTATTGGTACATTTTAGGTGTACAATACATTTACATTCTCCTTTCATCTTTAATGCCTCAGTGGACTTTACTCCATCGTGGGAAACTTACAGTTTCTAGTTGCACTTGAAATAATGGGCTTTATCATTGCCTTGACTGAATTTTACTTGGAAAGCTTACAACTTTGGGCCCAGCAATAATGATGAATAGTATTTGTGTAGAGTTTTATAATTAAACAAGTAAAAGCACCGCTCTCTGAGGTATTCAGCCCTCCCTGGACCACAGAGTTTAGTAAATGGCTTGTGCTCATCCACCCGTTCATGCTGTCCCGTGAAGTTAACAGGACACACATGGTTCCCGCCGTCCAGACCTGGGGGTGGAGAGGGGCGTATGAGTGGTTTTATGTCAGGGTCGCACGTGGGATCTGCCTCGGCCCCTGCTGGTCGTGCGAGAGCCTGTGTGTGTCCTGGGTGCCTGACCGCAGGGGCGGGGGGAGGAGACGGAGAGTCTGGCAGAGCTGCCCCAGCATAGGGTGGCTTTTCCACGGACCGAGCGTGGCTGTTAGCCCATGCACTTGGTGCTGATGAAATCAAAGCATAGTGAAGGAACACTCTCGCGGCAAGGCGTGCAGAGGTGCCAGAGATGTGGGAATGCTGCTGGTGCGAAGTTTTAGGTGTGGAGGGGACACACAGAGGGATTGGTGGCTGGCTGCATAGGGGAGGAAAAAAAGGGGCGATGTTGATTGCCAAGCGCTCTGATGTCATTTAAGGTCCCCGAGAGCAGCCCAGGCGGCCCTTGGACCTTCTAGGAGCCAGGCTCCCAACGTCTCCTCCAGGCAGGGTCCCCCCTTTCCTGATCTTTTCTGCCCTGCCCTGTGGGTTGGGGGCAGAGAAACGCCCTACCTGGAGAGGTGAGGCCAGGCCAGGCCCTGACTGTCCCAGCTCGCCACCCATGTGTGGCCCACTCGCGCTGACTGCTGACTCTTGTGTCCTAGGCGTTTTTTGTGGACCACAACTCCCGAACCACCACGTTCATCGACCCACGGCTCCCGCTGCAGAGCAGCAGGCCCACGAGTGCGCTGGCCCACCGGCAGCACCTGACCAGGCAGCGCAGCCACAGCGCAGGGGAGGTGAGCGGAGACCTGCAAGGAGGACTGGCGGCTTCTCCTCAGCCCGGCTTGGCTTGGGTTTCTAGTTTGATTTAAAGAATATCATCCTGGATCTGAAAAGCTTTGGAGTGTTGACAGTGTTTCTCTGGAAAGGCACACAGCCTTAGTTAAAAATTTAAAAGGCAGGACACACAAGGAAATAGTAAAAAATAGTTACTTTTTCTAAATTGAGAGGAAGGTAAGAGGGAGTTGATGATGTGTTCAGAGACAAATGAGTTATTCACAGGAGGATGGCTGCACCTCGAGATCGTGATGTTCAGTGACGTAGATCACTGAATAGCTTCTCTCGTATGACAAATTAAACTATAAGTAATTTTAAAAATCAAAATGAGGGATAGATCGTAGGACACAGGGAGGTAGATCTGCACACGGACAGGGAGCCAAGGGAGGGAGGACAGGGAAGAGTTCGTAAGAAGAATGAGGGTGTGCCACATTCGTGTGCCGACTTCCTACAAAGACTGTAATCATGAGTGGCAAACATGCACTAGTAAAAGTAGAGAAAGAAGAAATGCTGCAGGTTTTCATGGGCTTTGATCAGTGCAGGGAGGAATTTCTCGAGCTTTGCCGGCTTATTCTAAAGTGTTCATTCACAGTGCTGGCTGTGCAACCCTCCACCGTGTCCCTGAAGGCTGGACCCGCACGGCCAGCCCGCAGTGGCCCTTGGCAGCCACATGGGGGCCCTCCAGTGTCCTGACCGGAGCTCCAGATCCTTCTTTCACTTTCTCCCTCCTCCAGCCTCCTTGAATCAGACTTGTGTTTTAGTTGAGTTTTCTTCTCCTTAGTGTGGGCTTATGCGTCTGTGTAACCACTGCTTGGTGTGCATTGTTTCTGAAATTCCCTTAGACAAACAGAATTGAGATTCTTTTCCTGCATACCTTTTCTGTCTCAGTGTCTGTCATATTTTCAGTCTTATACTTTAGGTCAAATATTTTTGTAGCCTTTCTTACAAGAAAAAAATTATGAATGCAATAAATAATTGGATTCAATTCATCAAAATTCTAGTCTTGGAATTTCCCCTCATGATTTACGTACTTGCCCTAGTGTATCATGTGCTTGCTGATTGATGCAGACCTAGAAGAATACACTCAAGGAGCTCATATAAAAATGATACATAATCTATTGCACCTAAATATTTATGTTTTATGAGTAGCTAATAAATCTTTACCTTGCTGTCTTGTAAACCATCAGTGGTGAGCTGGAGGACACAGGAGCATTTATCTAAAAACAGAACAGCAGTCTTACCTTTGGACCTGGGCTTGTCTGTTGTGTACTCGGGACTCGGTGTGACCTCATCACATGGCCGGTGCCCTTTAGCCGCGTCCCCTGTCCCGACTGCTTTCCTGAGAAAACGTGCACAGGAGTAGTAGCTGTGCTGCATTTCCTTTCCACCCTTCTCTCTCCGGACTGAGTTATTTTCATGGCCCAGTAGTAGCCTTGTGGCAGAGTGGTCTTAAGTGCTGTATTAGCACTGGCGTAAAGATTTACCTCCTGTTGCTAGAAGCGGAGCTGTGGAACCGCGGTGTCCTGGTGGATGCAGCCCTCAGCCGCAGCAGGGCTAGGCCTTGTGGGATGCCCGCACGCTGCAGCTGTCAGCTGTTGGAAGCCCGCCTATCTTGAGGCACCACCCACACCTGCAGAGGTTTCAGAAAATGAGATGTCAAAGGCCTTGGGCTGTTCAGGGAAGATGACACACGGCAACACACCAAGAGGAGGGATTAATCACACCATATTGGTGTATCGAGACGCTGGAGTCTCTGACGGACAGCCCGCCTGTAGTGAGTGGCCGAATCTCCACAGCGGTTGAGTCCCCTCCTCAAAGCCACTAACTCGAGACAAGAAGGTAGAGAATGTCCAGTTACGAGTCTTTCCAGCCACCTTCCTGCATCCCAGTATTAAAATGTTCCCATCAGGAGAAGTATTCGTATCTCTTCTGTCCAACTGAACGATACCAAATACCTATTACAGTGGAAACATGGTAGTTGACAACCTGAGGAATAAAAAGAATTATCTTGTTTCCCTTAATAAGGAAAGAGTATAAAATCACAGTTTAGATGAATAAAATATGAGTGAAAAATCCTAAGCTGTTTTTTAGTGGTTGAGAAGGAAAACTACTTCAATAGTCTTTTCAGATAATGTGGATTTTTTTCCTGCTTATCTCTTTCCAGATTTATTAAGGTATAACTAACTAATCTAAACTGTTCGTAAAGACAGCTGCTTTAGAAATGTATGTCAGGTGTTACAGGAACAGAGTAAAGGCTGCCTTTAACTTCCACTTAAAGGACATTTTGAAAAATGAGTGAGAACATTCTGGAAGGTGAAGAGGCTGTTTGCAGTGTGAGGGCCTTTAGAACGTCCTCAGCAAACCTCTGACATAATGTGAGAAAACAATTGTGAAGGCTTTCTGTGGGTAGAAAGAGAAGTTTTATATGGAAAGTACCGATTTAGAAATCCAGTATGTTATTTTGCCTCTTGTTTTCTTACTCTTTCACACGGTTTTACTCCTAGAGCATGGAAGGGAAGGCTAGGAGGGAACCAACAGCAACAGCAGAGCCTCCTGAACCCACGTGAAAGGGTGTTCTCAGTTGTCTACTTGTGCGTATGAGTTTGAGCCTGCAGCAGACACAGTAAATAACTCATGTTAGAGCAGCCCTGTTTAGCTGCTCCACACCTGCTACTGTTATGGGAGGCTCAAACCAGAAAGAGCTGTTGTGCCGGTGCTATAATAGGCCTGCAGCATTGCTCTGAGGAGACAGTGAGAGCCCCCCTCTGCTGAGACAGGGAATTCCCTGCCAGCCTCGGTCGGAAGAGGGAATCTCCTGGCGCTGGCCCAGTGCATGGAACCACCCATTCCTCCTGTGACTGTCAGGTTGCAGGTTTGGATTTTGTCCACACAGAAGTTATTCCTGATCAACAAATCTGCTCTTTGGCTGCCATAGCCTCAGCGATTATACGCATGTCCAGCCATTCGATGTCACCTGTAGTCCTGCCCCTGACACTCAGGGAAAGGGTGCCCCGACCCTCCTCCCCACTCAGCCACTGGAGCAGGGAATTGGGGGAAATTGGGGGTCTGCCTGTTCTGATGGGTTGGGTCTGCCGTGCCGGTTGCTGAGCATTTTGAGCAGCTGGGTTTGGGGTGCTGATGGGCAGCTCTGTGGGTCTGGATGTGGAGTAAATGATGTTTGCCTTGGCAGGTGGGAGAGGACTCCCGGCATGCAGGGCCACCCGTCCTTCCCAGGCCATCCAGCACGTTCAACACTGTCAGCAGGCCGCAGTACCAGGACATGGTGCCAGTGGGTATGTCACCCTCCCCTGCCCCAGCTGGGCCTGCATGACATCATACCCTGAGCAGAGGATCCAGATGGGTTTTCTTTGCCCTATGTTGAGAAACTCTTCCGTTATCCTTAAATTTATAACAGAGTCCTAGAGACTTGTGCCTCAGTGGGCTTCTGTCTCGTAAAATCCTACACCACTCTACCTCTCTGTGTAGAAGTATCAGATGGTCTAAGTCAAGGAAATACAATTTTACTAAAGCATTGTATTGCTCAATCATACATAAGCATTTGAACATGCATAGACTTAGGATATATTTAACGTGTGAGACCTGATTTAAATGCTGTTTGAAAATGTGGTTGCTTCATGAGGTAGCCAAGCAAAAATAGCACATTCTGAAGCATTTTTGTAGCAAATAGAAGACAGCAAGAGCCTGCTGGATGATAGACTAAAAATAAATGAAGACAGGCACAAAGGCCTGAAAACAGCTAGCTAACAGGTGTTGTTAAAATGGTGAAGTTGAAGTAGCTTCATGGTTTTCAGACCTGTGGTCCCTCAGGAAATGGAGTGGAAAGACAGGGGGAAGACCATAGAGACCCTTCCCCGCCTTAGACTAGAGCAGATTTATATATTGTCTGTGTACATTGCCTGTTTAAAATTTTTACTGTAAAGTAAACTTTGTCATGAAATACAATATAATGCCCATGACTTAAAGAAGTTTGACAACCACTGGATAAGAACAAATCTAGGGTCAAAGGCTGACTGTGTACATTTTATTGTCATTACTAATATGATACTGAACATTGCACATACAATTTTAAAGTATTATAAAATTATTGCTTAAAAAGTTGTCTAGTTTCTGATCATGGATGTGAAGACTGATTCAATTTTATAGGTGTTTTCGGCTCGTAATGAAATGCACATTTCGGCACACTTTGAGTTACACTGGAATGCCATTTTAGCAGGCTTGTTTTAAAAATGTTTTATCCACATTTAACTAAAATATGTATGTACAGGCAGCATAAGGTGACACAAAGTGTCAGATGTCTGCCAAATTATACTTCTTTTATTTAATCATTTGTCAGTTTAAGAAAGGCTTGTATCTTGATCACATTTACAAAAACCAAAGCATTGACTGGCTTCGGACCCCTGATCTATGAGTTCACACACTCGGTCTGAGTTTTGTGAATTGAAATATATTCATGCCTACTTCTGATTACTAATATAGTTAACCTGAATCATTGTACTTAACACGTTCATTTTCTTCACAAAAAGACATTAACAGAGCCTTAGGCAATTCTAATTAACCGTTTTAAAATTTCTTTAGCCATCCTTGAGTAGCAGGCAGCCTTGTAGAACGTGTGTTCTGTGTGTATTGATGATGGCTGTGTTAGAGCTGTTGCTGTAGCTGTTTTGGTAACACGCTGTTTGTGGCCTAATGGCAGGGAGTTTGGGGGGTAGTCTGTCCTCTGCGCCTGGATTGTAGCTGTGTCTGTATTTGGGGGACACTGGTTCTGCCTCATTGCCTGTCTGGCTATCTTAAAATTTATCTAGAAAGTTGTTTTGTATTTCTAACTGTTGTCATTTTTGTGAGGTTTATTTCAGTAAACTTAAAATGACCGATATGTATTGTCTTGTTGATGAACTTTTCATTTGATAATAAACATGGTTCATTATATGAGTTTACTAAGAATACTTAAGTAAATCACATCTATGAGGTAGAAGACAGTGCTTGTGTAGCGGGTCAGACACGAATCAGAACTTAAACAACTGCGATAGTAGTAGCAGGGTAGTTTCAAAGTATTAATGTCAGTGCAAAGAATATTAATTAGGAAAAGAGATTTTTAAAGTTTGGTTTTATGTGGGCAAGATGAATAACAGATTATTTTTAAAGTTATCATCTTTTCTGATTTTTTCAGCTTACAATGACAAGATTGTTGCATTTCTGCGCCAACCCAACATCTTTGAAATTCTTCAGGAGCGGCAACCTGATCTCACCAGGAATCACTCACTCAGGTAAATGCCTTACTGGATTTGGCTGATGTTGACTAAGCTCCAACATTAAATCTTGGCAACGCTGATCATCATCTTGTAAATTCCCTCCTTCTGACATTCTTTTCCAAAGGCATTTTACTACAGATATTTCATGTGGTTAACACCAAGTCATTGTAGCCCTGGCTTCTCTTGGTTAAATTTAAGAGTTCAGTAAGATTAGCTAAACAACCTAGAAGCCCCCTTGAAGACATGAAAAAGCAAAAATTTACAGTTAAGAAGTCACTCTGGATGTGCAGATTATGATGAAAATAGTAAGACCACAGCCTTTGGAGTGTGGCTTCAGTAAACAAGGACTGGAGGCCTGCAGGCCTGGACTCAGAACTCACACTTTCCCATTATAAGAGCACAGTGGGTCCCAAACAAGGTACTCATTCTCTCTGCAGCCCAGCCTTGTGCGGCCAGAACCCTTCTTATAAACAGCTCCCTGGTACTCCTGTCAATACCTACTGCTCCTCTGTCTTGGCAAGCTTTTCTGTTCTCAGTGTGGCAAGAAGGACCTTTCTTTTAACACTCAGGACAAGTCCTCCTTCCTCAGAATCTTCCAACTCCACTGTGGATTCTTACTGTCATGACCTGGGCTAGGACAGCAGTACCTCGGTTCATGAACTTAATTCTTTCCACGAACTTGGTCGAGAACCAAATCAAATTTTCCCATAAAGTTAAGATGAAGAGCTCATGAATAGAAGCAAAATTTTGATGAATGTTTCTTTTTGTGAACAGAATTGCTCTCAAACAGAAGTGTTCGTGAACTGAGCTACCACTGTATTGGTCGATCTCAGGAGATTGGGCATCAGCAGGGATGGAAAACGGGAGTTTCTGTTGAAATCCTGACATAACCCAAAGCCTGTTTGGTCTGCATGCCCCCTTTACTAGTAGAAATACGCTAGCCTGTACAGCATAAAATGCCAGCTGGATGTGGCAGCCTATATCTGCAATCCCAGCTCTCTGGGAAGCTGAGGCACGGAGGGTTGAAAATTCTAGCCCAGCATTAATGATTCAGCAAGGACCTTATTTCAAAATAAAAAACAAAAAATGGCTGGGGTTGTAGCTTGGTGGGAAGGCCCTGGTTTTGATCACCATTATAAGAGGGGAGAGTCTCACCCAGCTGCTTTCTCTTCTGTGAACCTATTCTCCTACACTATCCAGAAATCAAAAGGTCAGGAGTGAATCCCAAGCTTTGTTTTCTTTAAATCTCTCTGTATCATTTTTGTGGCACTCCCAGGTATGATAGCTTCTGTTCTAGACACTAAGTTTTAATCATATACGGTGCCAAATTGTTTTTTGTACTCTTTTGACTATTTGGCTTTCATGCTTTAATTTGATTTTTCAAATTTTTATGCTTTATTTTCCAATTAGATTATAAGATGCTTACAAATATGAATCTTATCCAACTCATTATTCCTTCTTCTTACTAATCCACTATCTACAATAGCACTTTGCATGCAGTGAGTATGTAATTTGTTAAGTTGAAAATAAGTTACCAGATATTAACATGATTTTCTCAGTTTCTCATGACTTATAGTTGTTATCACTTTTAGAGTTTCTAAAGGTTAAAATTACACAAAATTTCAAGTACATTTCAGATGTTGCTAATATAGAAATGCTGTTTACACACAGTTGTCAAACTTAAATGAAAGTGCTTTCCCCCATACAACTTGATATTTTAGATTACACAGAAAAAGTAAAAATAAAAAGTACCCAAATGTGGATTCTGTAGGTGTTTTTTTTTATCCTGGTGCCCACTCAGCATCCCATGGTCCCCTAGGGAATCTTACGTAAGACATTTTAGTTAAATGAAGTTGCAGAAATAAGTTTCTCCGTGGTCTAATTAATAGAGTCTGAACCTCAGAGCTGAACAAATGAAATTCTTCCTTTTTTGCTAATCACAGGATAAAGAAAACTATTTTCTCTCTGTTCTAACTCACCGAGTCGCAACATCCCACACACCCTCACGTGGGCACACACGCCTGCCCCTCTAGTTAACATCTCGTTCTCTGAAAGTGCCCCAGCCTCCACAAAGAGTAAGAAACAAGAAACTCAAGAAGTTTTCCAGCTTTGCGCTGTACTGTGCATTATAATTTAAAACGAATAGAGCATCCTTAAGTCACTACCTTTGGACCATTTAATTTACCGAAACTTTGTTGTTCTTCTCTAAGGTCTTGACAGAATCCTAACAGAGTCCAACTGGGAAAAGCTGCAGGCTGCATTTGGGAGCTTCCACTTTTATTTTTGTTTTCTTTCTGCTTTTTAGAGCCTTACACGTTTCTGATCTTCTGAAGATTGCTAAAGATTTTTATTTTTTAATGGAGTCCTCCGTTAAACACAAGTCTTTCTTCTGCATCTCACATGGTGATCTCTTACTAAGAACTCACTTGGTAGGCTTTGAATATGTATGCATCTGTTTATCCTTTTCAAAGCTCTTCACAGAACTTGGCCATGGAAAGCAAATGCAGCTGTGACAAGTACGAGGAAGTAGAGATTTAAACTAGTGAAATAATTCCTGCCCTTTTACCCAGAGTATCGGTCACACTGCACTTCCATTTTCTGAAAAGTGTTTTAGTAGTTAAGCACTTTGCTTATCATGGAAACCTAGAGGAGAAGTTTGTGAAACCAGGGGCACATTCTGTTTCAGAATGAGCATTCCCACAAATGTGAGGGCGGAGCACCAGCTGGGCTGTTAATCTCATGCTGTAGTGACATTTGTGATAGCACAGTGTGTTAGTCACCTTTCCTCACTATCACAAAACATCTGAGATGATTAGCTGATGAAGAGAAAATTTTAATTTTAGCTCAGAATCTGGGAAATTGTTTTCGTACCTCTTCACAGTTTCAGTGGGGTTAGTTTGTGGTCTGCTGGCTCCAAGGCGGAAACGGCACAGCAGAAGAGCATGGCAGACAAGAGCTACTCATGCAGTGGCAGCCAGGAAGCAAGGAGAGAGGGGTAGAGCTGGGGATAGGAAGGGACTCTTCTCGGCCACATTCCAGGGACCTCCTCCAGCCAGGCGCCACCTCCTAAGAGCACATTCAGCCATAAACTCATCCGTCGGCAAACGTTCTGATGAGTAGAGCACCCCCATGGTTCAGTCCCTCCAAACACAGAGACTTTGAGGGGACTTTCTAGATCTGCACCATAACACCGAGGTAGCATTTGATGCAGTCATCCTTACCTGTGTCCCAGGCACTTAAACAATCATTGTGTTTCTCCTTAATATAATGAGGAAATAAAGAATAGCCCTTGGCAGGTTGAAGTAGGCCTACCTCTTTATTTTGTGTTTTTCCTTTTCGTGGTTTCTGCTAAACCAGGAGGTAGTAAGCTGTAAGTTTACATTGTATTTGTATGTAGCTCCTTCTCCCGGCAGACTCCACTGTATGCATTTTCTCTAACATGGCTGTGGGTTTCCATGCAGCAGAACCCGGCCTTCACCTTCAACTGCTGCACTGAATTGCTTCCCCTAACTTCTTGTGTCATGCAAGTGTGAATGCTGCCAAGTTGTTGTCCCCCTTCTCTGATTTGTTCTCTCTTAATCTTGAAAGAGATTTATTGCTGCAGTTGGGAAAACAGCATCCAGATCCCCACAGCCCCGCCCCCGGCAGTGCGCGTCTCCACTGGGCACCGCACCTGTCCGCTGGCTCTCCCCAGAAGGCAGTAATCTGTGTAGATGCGCATGTGCTGTGATGTGAAGGCAGGAGCTGCAGTAACGTGGTCTAATTGGATGCCTAATTGTTATCGGCCAGGAGCCGCTTGCAGAACAAGGTTCAGGAGCTCAGGCTGGGAGGGTAAGGTGTGGAATCACCAAGCAGTCTCCGGGAGGTTTCTGGAACGCTCCCACTTTATTTAGGAAATGTGTAGGCGTGTGTAGCTTGCATGTGGACAGCTGTGGGGAAGGAGCATTTAATTAGAGTTTATGCAGTAGTGGAGAACATTGGGGACATCTTATTGGACATACGGTGGGGTGATTGTTCTTGGGAGAGGTGGAGGAGTCACGGACTAGGGGCGGAGGTACGGCCCGTTAGACCCAGCCCCTACGCACTTAGGCGAGTTTGCTCAGAAGACAGGAGGTGCGGTGCACCTGGCCCAGCCAGACTTGAACTTCTCCCACACCTAATTGCAAGTGTCGTTTGCAGTGACTTTTAATAATACTGTAGAGGTGAGTATAATGCGTACAAATTCAATAAAACTAGGTTTTGCTGTATGTGCACTGTTCTGTTATGACAAAGAACCTGAATCTGATAACCTGAACTGAGTTGAGAATTTCCTCTCTTCTGTGATTATTAGGTCCAGCCAGCAGATCTACTGCAGGCCAGTCCTAATCTCCCCAGACATCAGTGATAATTACTCTGGGCACGAGAATGATTCTTATTTGACTGACATGGAAATTCCCTTACCACAAGAATGTGATCTGTGATACTTTTTGATGCCTTGTCTCAAGAATGTGACCTGTGCTACATTCTACTGCATAAATCAAGCCATTCCATATTTTATGTTATTAGTAAATCAGTAACTTGGAGGCCTAAGAAATTCTGAGCCACAAAAGGCAAATAATATATGTTTCTAGATTCACCAGACTAGAAGTAAATGCGCTCAGACCTTCCACATCTTTCCGTAATCCAACCTTGAGAGCTTTGAAGTTTTGTTATAGTTTAATTTTATTCTTAATTTAAAAAATAACATTTGCCCATTTTAAAGTGATCAGACAATGCAGAAATTTGCAGAACTTCTAAAAGCTAGCTGATATTAAACTTCATTGTTCAAAATTTCTAACCTATTTCTTGTCCAACTCTAGCATATTAATTTTTCTAAATTTAATATTGGACTGGAAATTAATCTGTGTTAAGCATTTGAACTCCTGGTCTGAATAGCATGTATTTGCTGTGCTCGTCCTGGTGCATACCCTGTTGTTGTTAAACCCGGTCCAGCCCTGCTTCTGAGTCTCCTCTCATTTGCTTACTGGTCATTCAAG